CCATCCATCCATCCTCACATCCATCCATCCGTTCATCCATCCATCCATACACCCACCCATCATCCGTCCATCCATCCATCCTCACATCCGTCCATCCATCCATCCATTCTTCCTCACATTCATCCATCCATTCTCTCATCCATACATCCATTCATCCATCCATCCATCCATCCATCCATCCATCCATTCTTCCTCACATTCATCCATCCATTCTCTCATCCATCCATCCATCCATCCATCCATCCATCCATCCATCCATCCATCCATCCACCCACCCACCCACACACCCACCCATCATCCATCCATCCTCACATCCGTCCATTCATCCATCCATCCATCCTCACATCCTCCCATCCACCCACCGTCCATCCACCCATCCATCCGTTCAACCAGTCATCATCCACTGATCCATCTACCCACCCTCCATCCATGCATTTGTCCATCCTCCCATCCATCCGTTTATCCTCACACCCACCTACCCTCCCAGTCCATCCATACATCCACCCATGTGTCTTAACTGTCTACCTATTTAAAGCTGGGGTTATGTGATCCAACTTGGATTTGAGACAGTGGATGTGGGAGCATGTAGGAGCAAGGAGTGGAGAATGCTGGTCGAGGGTCTGGGCCAGGGGTCATAGAGTCCAATGAAGGTAGCGTGGCCATGCTGATGGGTGGTGGGTGGGCCAGGCATTTGAGGGCACACTCCAACCCTTGTCGCTGTGTGGACAGGGCATGTGGGCAGCCAGGGGCAGAGAAGATCTGGTGCTGTCTGACCCAGCAATTGGAGCTGCCTGTCAGTACCTGAAGGCAGTGACCACACAGGTCGGCTCAGCCTGGAGGCGGCACCCAGGGGTCTGGGCTGAGTACTGCAGCCAGCATGGGGGTGAGGATGGGTGCATCTCTGAAACATGAGCAGGAGGCCTAGAGGATCCTGTGTGCAAAGTCCAGGAATCAGGAGCGGAACCCATGGCAGGGGACACCCTCCAGGGACGGCGAGGCACAGGACTGCTCTCTGCTGCCCTGTGTGTTGGCAACTTGCCTTTCACAGGCCAGAGGGCCCAGGCTTTTGAGGGTGGAGGAAAGCCGGGGGCTTGAGAAAGACCCCAGGAGCAAGCAGGGCCATGCGTGCAGCCCAGAGGGTTGGGGCCTCGCCGAGTCTCCTGTTCGTGAGCACTTGCTCGGTGGCCATCCCTTGTCTTCAGTTTAATCAATGTTTTTTGCCTCTCTTTCATGTCCTCTCTTACAGCCCCCAACTTCTGGCCCTTTCACCTCCTTGGGAGGGGCAGCATTCTCAGATGACCCCTTTAAAAGTAAACAGGACACTCCTGCTCTGCCTCCGAAGAAGCCCGCTCCTCCACGGCCTAAACCGCCCAGTGGTCAGTACACTTTCTTCTCTCGTAGCTGCCTGCCCGCTGGTGCAGGAGCGCAGGGGGGACCGAGGGCCCTCTGTTTGCCAGCCCAGAGTAGAAGTAGATGCCATGGGGCCCTGCACGCAGAGCCACAGGGGCACCCGGGTCCCCATGAGCGGGGTGTGTGTGCATGCGTGGTGCCTGCCTCCCGCTGCCTGCCCTCGCCCTGACCTGTGGGCCCCGTGGCCCCAGGTTCTGTGTTGGGGTCCACAGGACCCAGGCCTCTGAGCCCTGTTTGTGGGGGTGGTGGTTGTGTGTTCTCTGCCCGAGCATGTCAGTGCCACCCCAATACCCTGGCTATCCCTCAGGAAACACCCACGGTCCAGCAGCCTCCTGGCCTCCCATGCCCTCTCTTTCCCACATTGGCTTAGGGAGGACCTGGGGGTGGCAATGGCAGCAGGGGTGTCTGAGGCAACCTGCTCAGCCCAGTCTTTCCCCAGCTGTGTAAGGACTTGGGGTGGGGGTAGGGGTCTTCCTTGGCTGTGTTTGATGTGAGAGGAGGCAAGATGGTTTGGGGATACCCACCCTGCCCTGCATCTAGGCTCCCATCAAGGAGTTTTCTGCAGACCCTGCATCTCTTCCCTGTAGCCGGTGCTACTGATTTCTCATAGCCGAGGGCCCCATCATGTCCCCCTGAGGACTCTGAGAACCTTTAACTCATAGGTGGGATTTCTCTTGCGTGATAGACACAGACTGACAGCCCAGATTACCAGACTCTGAAGCAGAAAGCTGTTGCTTCAAGCAGCAGAAGGATTCACTGCAGTCTCCTACTCCTTTATCCATCCCCTCATTGTCCCTTTTGTCAGTGCCTGGCCAGGGACATCTCTTCTGTTCTCTAGTCTCTGTGCAAAGTTTCACCTACACTGTCCTTGGATTGTGGGAGGCCACCAGAGACTCCCGTGCTCTTGTGGTCGGTCGTGCCTTGTGTTACAAGGCCTTCCCTAGACAGGGCGTGCCCCTCCTGGCCCCGCCCCTCCTCATGGCCCTGCCCTCTCCTCCGCACTCGTCTGTCAGCTGCAGTGAGGGAAGGCGGGGCATGCCTTCCTGCCTGAACTTGCCCCTCCCTTGAATCCCACAGTGGGCTCCACTTTGCGGCTCTGATTATGGCAGGTCTTTGAGCAGATCTGTTGGGCTCCACTTGCACCCAGCTTGCTAGTTACAAGCGATCGGATCCAAGGCTGGCCAGTCTTCCTACATGGGTTGCACCTGTCAGTAGAGGTGAACAGGGGAAGTTATTTTAAAAACACTGCCTCTTCTCTCTTGTCACTTGGGCTGGCCTGGGTTTTCTCTCCGGAGCTCGGGGACCCTACCTGCCATGCCCACGTGAGCTTCCTTGTGGGTGAGTCATGAAGAAAGTATGACCAACAGGCAGTGTGGATTATTGCAGATTTTCTGTGAACTGTGAGCAGATACAGATGAGCAAAGAGATCATTTCTGTAAGCCACACATCAAAGACATTTACCAGAAAATGGAGGGAAAACAAAAACAACAAAGGAACTTTCTTCCAGCCAGCCGTGAGAGGCTGCTTGCACCTTACACAGAGGCAGTGGCTCTGAGGGGACCCTTGACAGTCTACTATTGGAGTGGCATTGGGCCTCCCTACTCTGCTTGAAACATGGGAGCAAAAGCACATGTGCACACACACGTACACACGTACATGCACACAGGTGAGCACATGCTCATTTACATGCTGCATGCACACACGTGCATGTACACATAGCACATATCCACACACATGCGTGTTCTTCATGCACACGTGTACCTGTGTGCATACACATTTTCAAACAGTGCTTGCGCACACATGCATATACACAGGTGCATATGTTCACATGTGAATGCACACACGTGCACATACACATACATGGATCCTGGTGACCACACATTCACCTACTGCATGCACACATACGCACACAAACACACCCACACACCTGCATGTGTGCACACTCACAGGGTGCTTACATGCATACATGCATAGTGCACATATTTGCATAGTGAATGAATGTGCATGCACATGCATGCAGAGCAATGTTGTATTTGTTGGGTCCTGAAGAGGAGCTATCCCACTCAGTAGCTAGCAGATACAAAGCTTCATTTTCAGTGATTTGTGGAAACTGTCACCTCCGCCTCCCACTTACCTGAACCCAGTGCTGGGTCTGCTTTTGAACTTTCCCTCAGCTGTCACCTCCCCTGGTGTCTCCCTCTGCGAACCTACCTACCCCAATTTGGCTTCTGCTTTTAGCATCTTGTGGACTTAAAAAGCAGAGAAGAATGCTTGTTAAAAGTTAAACATTGAGTAACCAGGGTTTGGATGACCTGCTTGTGCCAGGCTTTGGAGTTGAGGCTTTTTAGAGAGCTGTTCCGTAATTTGAGACCCAGGGGGTCTTGGGCTGCCTCTGCTTGTAGCTTTGGACCGCCGCACCTTTGCCAGTAAGCGGCCAGGTGCCCCCTCCGTGCTCTGTGGAAATGTATTAAGATCCGCAGACCTGTAGGAAGCATCTATCCAACTCTGATATCACCAGACCCTAGCGAGACCTGTGAGATGGATAGGACAGGTGACACGATGCCCATTTGCTGGAAGAGGAAAAGGAAGCGAGAGGTTGTGGGGGCTGCCCGAGGTCAAGCAGCAAGGTGGCAGCAGGACCAGGTCTTGACTTGGTGACCTGTCCCCCATCCAGTCCCCCCCGATACTTCCATAGACAGCACTGAGAACCAAGCTGTGAGTTCAGAGCTCTTTGGAAGGCATGTGCAGCATTTGAATCTGTGAGCAACTTCAAGATATCCATGAAGAAGCCTGAGCATCTCTCGTTTGATTCTTTTACCTAGAAGCAATGGCTGAACAGAAAAACTGTGCCTTGTACACGCTGCTGGGCGGTAGGTACAGACCCATGTGGTGGCTGCTGTTTGAGCTTCCAGCACCGTCTCAGCTGTGATTTCATCCTAACCTCTAACAACCTGAAAACCAACCATGCTCATGCACCTGTGCACACGTGGGGTCTGGCAGTCAACCTTTTAATAAGTCACATGGTGAGAGGGGTGTGCATCTGGCTCCTTGTGGGGATGCAGAGGAAGCTGTTGCTCTGTGCTGGTTCTCTGGTCAGGGGAACTGGAGCCCAGCGGTGCACAGTCCCCTACCTGCTCCCTGGCCACTCTGCACAGACCCAGCTTGGTGCTTATCTGGTTGTTGGCAAGACAGGTCAGCAGATGAGGGGTAGATGAGATCCTGCTCAGAAAATTCCTTATGAACACACAAGGCACATTGCTTGTTTCTTGGCTGCTTAAGACGGGAAGCAGCCACACTAATGTCTGAATTTTTTTTTTTTTTTTAAGAAAACAATTTCCAACAGTTTGACAATGCAGGAATGTGCTTTTCTGCCTTTTTTGCTGACTCAGCCTGTTTTGCTCAGGGAGGCTATGTGGCCACCTGGTCACACTCAGTCACTCAAGAGCATTCCTGATGCTGGATAGTGGGGCTTTGCAGGGAAAGTGGTCGTCCCAGTGTGGCTCCACAGGGAAGAAGAACATAGACTGAAGAGCGCTAGATAGACTGCTCAGGGACAATGGTTTTTCTTACAAACGCACACACAGCATTATTCCTGCCGTCGGGGAAGGTCAGGATGAGGGGATGGCTCTTCTGCACTCTCATGGCCCTACACACGCAACACGTCTGATGTCACCACGTTCCTACCTAGGGCTCGTCCATGCCGGGACCTGGAAGATTCTAGAACTCTCTGTACCTGGAAATGGTCCTGCCAGAAGCCAAGAGGCTGCGTGATCAGGCTGGTTTCTGGACGTTGGAGCAAAGGCCCCAGTGCAGATTTTAGTCCTTCCCCTGACTCCATGTGGGGCCCTGGGCAAGTGATTTCACCTTATCAAACCTCAGTGTCCCTGTCTAAAGATGAGACTAACTCAGGCCTAGCAGGTGGGCGTGCAAGGGAATGTGCCTTGCATAGTGATGTGCTGTGAGTGACCTGCACCCGCCCCGAGGTGCAGGGACCAGGACACAGGTTGCATCTACCATAGGTGCCTTTCCCAGTAAAGATGGCACGGGGCCAGAGGCAGCTGCGAACCTCCAGGCAGTCATCACTATCAAGGGGCCTCTTTCCCCACGAGATTACATGATGGCAGTTTAGCGGAAATCTGTTCCGTTGAGAAATGTCGGTGTGCAGGTAGCTCAACTTCAAAGAGGGCTCCAGGGTCCCCTCTGGGTCGTCCTCCTACGGGACCAAATGCAAGTTTGGGTCTGAGTCACCTGTGGTTTTTTGGCGCTCTCTCTTGTGTTCTAGAGGCTGCAGTTTTCAAATTTTGTGGGACCTGATTTTTTTTTTTTTTGGATGGCTGGCTGGTAAAGGGATGGAAACCTGGATCTTCTTGTTAGCAGCATCATGCTCTGACCAACTGAGCTAACTGGTCAGCTCTACTTTTTCGTTTTTAAAGCTTGATTGTGGTTTAATGGACATAGGATAAACACAGATCATGTAGAGGTGTACAGTTGGGCAAATAGTGGCTTGGACAGTCATGGTGGGGACATCTCCACCTGGGAGCCTTGTCGAGGCAGAGGCGTGCTGCACCCAAGTAGCCTACACTTGGCCATCTGCTTTCAACTCCAGGTTGAGGGTGGAGGGTCATCTTCTGGGGCACTAAGTTCTCTGTGCCTGGAGGTCTTCTCTAGAAAGTTCTATCAAGTTATTAAATAACCAGCAGGTGTCTGTTAGGGGCAGAGAGAACTGGTTTCTTTCAGGCACACGCAAAACAGACCTAGCAGGCAGCCAGCCAGCCAGCCAGCGAAACCTGTCAGTTAAAGTTAGCCCTGTACACACCTCCCCCAGGTAAACAATGGTGTATTTTCTGCCACGCCTGGAGATCGAGATCAGTCAGAACTCACCGCTGAAGTTTCTAGGTAAAAGTTGTTGATTTGCAAAGAGAGAAACAGATTTTTTTTAAGTGCAGGAAACGGCAGTGTGGGTGTC